GTAGGCACTTTGTACGCTCTTTACTATGGAAGGTAATACAGATTACAATTTGAAAACTCCATATAATATAAGCCCACTGCGGATGTGCCCTTAGTGACAGCCAAAATCGCGCCACTCGACATACACCCTGCAGCGCTTACGGTTGGCAGCTTGCGGTTGGCGCAAGCTATCGTTCATCTTGACTGCCACCCGGATGGGGACGCAGAACACTTGAAAACTACTATGATGCAATCTTATGGGTGATCACAGATGCTTAACCAGAAAATTATACCCTTATAACACGATATGCCCCTTGTAGAATTACGGCGGTTAGCTAAAGCACTGCCAATTGCCTAAATGAAAGATTGAATACTTTGTTCAAGGAATGTAACCCTAGGGTTTCTTGTGGTGGGAAAAGAATATGGTTTTCGTAATCAACATGCTAATTACTCTAACATCCTCGATCCAATAAGCTGTCGACTATTTCCCATCAATTTCAATCTTTTCTATTTGACAAACAATCACTGCAGCCAGGTGAATCATGTCGTGGAAGGGCTTTTCCACTTTCAAATGATTAACTCATTGCAAGAATTTATGATTATTTAGAATCTTTCTGAGTTTAAAAAAAACAGCAACTTTTATGTCAGCAATTGACCTCAAAGCATGTTCTAAATGTCTTAGTGAGTTTATGAAATGTCAGTGCAAAAGTGCGCTTAAGTTCAAAAGCAAGATCCAAACTACTACTCGACAGAACATAGAACTCACAATGACAGCGGATTGAAGGAGACGTAAGATAGGATCTAAAAAGCCGCAGTGGACCCAATGTGCTAAGTATACGGGGCTTGGCGACTGCATGACTCGACTCTGAAATATTTCACATATAGTTATTACGTTGTCTTATCTTCAAGTCATTTACTCAAAAGTTCTTTCTGATACCAGTAGACCGACAAGAGTATTACGGATTTGCGAAGTGTCAGAGAGCTCGCATATATTGAAAATACTCGATTATCTACTAATTTTCGACAACATTTCGGGAAAAGGCAAAACGAAGATTAAGTGACGAAAAGAGATTCATAATTACATATGCAAATGAGAACCATCAGACTATATGATACTAGAGGCAATGGTTGCAGGGAATGCCATGTGCAGTATGCACATTATAAGTCTTCTTAGAATCAAGACACAGCCTCACCTGCAAAGCATCCGGAGAGTAAGTTTGGCGACAATGCTCAAGATGTACTCGTAAGAGAGTAACATCAGCACCCAATTCTTGAGGACCAGCGCCTTTCGCTCCTCCAGCCGAGCCAACCGCTTGCGAAAGGTAATGTCTGAGTCGAGTCATGTCTACCTGAAGATCAAATCTCTTATAAAATTGCGAGCCTATCAAATTCATTGTGAGTAATACAACACAACTCTTCTAGCATTACGATGTTTGAGACGGTAAGAACACCATAATTCTAATAAAATGAACTTTCAATAACTTACAAATTCTTGTTGAGTGATCTTTCGAAGACTTTCCAGGTCCTCTTTCACATTTCGTTCAAAAGATGGAATGACGCCGAGGTCACGGTTATCTGTTAACGAATCCCATTCTAAACTAAAAGCACATCAAATGATATCATCAGTCCAAAAAAAAATTACTAAAAGGTGTAAGTACAATCAAGTCGTTTATGTTTATGTGAATTCTCCTTATCAATACTGAAATTTGTTGATAGCAATAAAGAGAGACATACCAATAGTATCGTCACTACCGTGCAGAGTGTTGAGTGCTTCATCAAGGTTGTCAATTGCAAACAATGCGGACAAGTATCGATGAAGTTCATTGGCACCGACAGACTGCAGCATAAGTCGATTAACTTCAACGGTGCCAACAAATAATGAAGTCTTACCATCGCAGATTTTTTCATCTTATCCGCTAGGGCCACTAGATTGGGAACTTGCATAAACGCACCGTTACGATAAGCTCCTATCAATGCTTCGCTAATCTGCAATTATTATTTCTCATACTTGCCATTAACAGAGAATAGAAAATTGTAACAATTTGTTCTGCACACCTCTTTCTCTGCCTGCTCATACACTTCCACCATTTCTGTGTAGTGAACTATACCAACATTAAATCTTAACGAAATTATGAATGCTGCACGAATTCAAAGCAATATTAAATGGATGACGCCTGTCTAACAAGCATTCTCAACTTGTGAGATAGTCCAACCTGCCACAAAGTTCTGGCATAGGAAACATAATGTAACCAAGAGTGTCCCTCTGAACTGATTTTATATCTAGCGCTCGAGTAAGCGCAACCATTCGGTACATGCAGCCTGAATGCAACCACATCATTGGAAATGTAATTTTTCTGGTGGCTGCTTACCTATATGAGCGTATGCTCGGCAAAGGACAAGTTTACAAAAAGGATCGGTAGGATAGTCGTTAGAAGTCCACTCCAGCAACAAAATCATTTCATGAAACGATTGCCAATCATCTAAAAATCGAATCAAATGTGCGAACTTTCAATTATGATTACATTAAAAAGGATGAAGCAGTGACCCTTAGCGCTAAGAGAGGCTATTAACACTTTCTCGGAGAGCTAGATCAACAAACACTCTTAAGCAGTATTTACTCAATACAAAAACATGAAGGAAAAAAGCGTAGAGACCTTTTATCCCAACCATGTGGCCCGTCAGCAACATGGCACAAACAGCTCCCCACTTTTCCCACAAAATTTCTCTTGTTAGTTATTTACCAGGCCTCCGAAAGAAGCCACAGATCAGCTGAGAACCCAGAGCTCCGCGCCTACCTGTTCGATTCAATGTTCTCCCTGCGCTCTGCTATGCAGCAGAGACGTGGCCTGACACTATGGCTACGTCAAAGGCTTTCCGAACCGATGCACTCAACATCTCGTCGGACTTCGCAGTTCAGATATGAGATCGATGTCTCGTCTTCAGATCCAGCGGAATACGTCTCTAAGGCAAAACATCGATGAGAAGGACAGACAACAGATGGACACGAAGAACCCTGGAATGGATTCCTCGCGAAGCAAAACATCCTCGAGGAAGGCCACCGAAGATGGGCTGACGTGTTTGTTGCAGGACAGGAGAATTCTCAGCTGGTAACGAATAATGGATCTGGACCTCGCGAGTCGCTGTCGCAATTTACCAACATCGTGATGACTCTAGCAAGAGATAGAAACGGATGGGAACAATGATGTGGCCTGCACGACAAGTGAACATAGGCCATCTAAGTACCTAAGTAAGTTACTTAGTTACTTATTATTCTGCAGTTAGCATGACAACGTTTCATAGCTGCTTTGAATTTCTTAGAACAAATGAACTAATCGTGACAGACAAAAACACCACACACAGGGAAACTACGCGCTATAGTTTTATATATATATATATATATATATATATAT